GTCTTAGGTTTCAAGATGAGTAATAAGTAGACCTGTTACTTTCTACCTGGGTGTTTTATTTCACTTGTGGTAGCTGCTATCATGTAAGTGCTGCAACCTCTTACAGGTAGGAAAGATCTAGTCATCCAAACTCAGAGTTAAACCCATGAGCAACTTAAAAACAATTATACTTCATATTCTCATTAATGTGTTTAAATTAAGTGATTCATAAAAAAATAGAAATTGACTTTCAAATAATTGGAAAATATAACACTATTTCTCTTCCCCCCCCAACCCTCCATATACACTCTTCCTCATTGAATAAATCATCTGTAGAGCTGAATATTCTGTTTAACAAAAGCTTTCTGTCTCTCAGAATTGACAACAGCAGCTCTCATTCTGACTATATATCAGTAATTTTTTTTTTTTTTTTTTTTTGCGGCGGAGTTTCGCTCTTGTTACCCAGGCTGGAGTGCAATGGCGCGATCTCGGCTCACCGCAACCTCCACCTCCTGGATTCAGGCAATTCTCCTGCCTCAGCCTCCTGAGTAGCTGGGATTACAGGCAAGAGGCACCATGCCCAGCTAATTTTTTGTATTTTTTAGTAGAGACAGGGTTTCACCATGTTGACCAGGATGGTCTCGATCTCTTGATCTCGTGATCCACCCGCCTTGGCCTCCCAAAGTGCTGGGATTACAGGCGTGAGCCAACGCACCCGGCCTATATCAGTAATTTTTAGATCAAAAGGTAAAAATACACATTTCTGGTCTGGGCCAGACACACCTGCCTTTCTACCAAGAGACTATCATTCAATAGATTTAAGCTACAAGAGAATGTAAAATTGCATTAATATACAATAAAACATACAATGAAAATCACAATTTCCACAGTGATGATGGAAAGGAGATGGCTTCCTTTCAGCTGTATAGAGCCAATTCCACTGTCTTGAAAATGCTGAACTCTAGTTCCTGAGCCATGTTTTAGGGTTAATATGGATTCAAAACCAATTCCTAGAGCTTCCTGGCTATGTAGGAACCACTTAAATAAGCATCTTTTGACCCTAAGCCCTGAGTGTGCTCATGTTACTAATGGTAGATGCTCTTTAAAAATGTGGGAACTCTCTCTGACTCTCCCATAACACCCTCAGAACTGTAAGTTGCCATTCCTGAGGCTTATTCTAAAATATACCTTAAAATCCTGACCCTGTCTAAAATACCTTTTAGAAGTTTCACAACTTTCTCCAAGCCCAGAACAAGAAGCCTTCAAACCCAGGCACAGATCCAAACCTGTGTTCACAACATTATTCCAGTTACACTGAGCCTAGTATCTTGGGTTTCATAGACTTAGCCAGGAGCAATGATGCAGGCTAATTGGGGGAATCTTAATAACATAATCCTTAGAAACATGCTCTCAGTTAGGTATCTTTGAAAGAAATAAAGAGTGGAAGGAAAGCTGCCTCACTCCCATGCATTGGAAGCATTGGGGTAGAGAAACATTTACCTACCTGCATGTACTGTGAAGTACTGACCGCTTGTTCTAATAATGTAGTTGGAATCTTGTGGGGAGAGGCTCAATAGAGCATTCAGAAGCCTCCAGAGGGAGACAAGTCAGGCACTTAAGTACCAAAAACTTCATATGGAGGCTGAAACTAAGAGAATTAGGCTGGCCCCAGACACGGCACCAGCTGGAACCCACAGGTGCAGATACAAGGCAGAAACCACTTCTGGCCATGGAAAATCATCACCAGACTGTGAGCCTTGTTGACAAGTGAGAAGCCACAGTTGTTTCTTCTCTGGGCCTAAATTTGTGCTTCCATTCTGTGAGCTGACTTTGGCTTTGAAGATCTGAATCACTGTCTTGGTAACGTGCCTAGCTTGTTCCCCTGCTGCACTGGTAGGAGGCAGCAAATCTGAATGTCTACAAGTCCAGCCAAGTAGCATAAACAAGTAATATGGATTGTTTGAGAATGGTGCAAACTGAAAAGGGAATGCCCCATTAATAGAGCCGCAGGTGCTTAGTCCTAGCTGTTACTGTAATGGAAGAAGGTAGGACCAAATCTTCCACTTGTTCATGAAAAGCTGAACATCTGAATTTTTTACTCCCTCTTTTAAAAGATTGAGGCTGGGTGAAATATAATCTCAGCACTTTGGGAGGCTGAGGTAGGAAGATAGCTTGAGGCCAGGGGTTCAAGATCAGCCTGGGCAACATTTGTAAGACCCCATCTCAACACAAAAAGAAAAAATTAGCCAAACATGATAGTGTGTATATATAGTCCCAAGTACTTGGTAGACTGAGGCAGAAGAATCCCTTGAGCCCAGGAGTTTGAGGCTGCAGTGAGCTAAGACTGCACCACTGCACTGCAGCCTAGGCCACAGAGTTAAGACCATATCTCTAGGTGAAAAAAATGAATTTAAATTTTTTAAAATATTGAAAAAATTATAAAAATACATTTGATGGTTAAAATGATAAATTTTGTATTGTATATTTTGCTACAATTAAAAAAATAAAAAGAAACAAAAAACATGTGGGCCAAATAAAAAACACCTACAGTCTAGATTCAGGTGCAGTCTCCTCATTGTCAGTGTCTGCTTTTGTACTAACACCTAGTATTGTCCTTCTTTCCAATGCTAATGCCTATCTCTCCCCAGTGTTAAAATTTGCTTAAATCTTGGACTCCAGATCAAGGCCTGAGACCGTGAAATCTGCCACAGGACTATGGCTATGTTTTACAAGATCCAAGAATGGTCTGGTCCCGAATTTTGCTAAATTGTCAAATGCCTTACTTCCTTCTGTTGCATCCTCACAATCTTACTGTTTATCCAAACTACTACTAATGTGTCACCATCCCACAAGGCTTCTGGAGTCTGACTGTGGCAAGGTCTGCTCCCACTTAGACTTTCCAGGTCCCAAATTCTCTCCATCTCTCCTGTCACCCTTCAGGAATCAGACATCAAGTCTCTTCTGAGATGAAGTAGTAACTATAACCTCTTATATTTCCCAGCTATGTGCCATGTTCTGGTACCATGTTTTACATAAATTATCTCACTTTATAATTCCAAAATCTCTGTCAATAAGGTAAAATTTCATGAAGAACCTGAGTTGTGTAGAGAGACTACACAACTCGATCCAATGTGCATAGCTATTAAATTGGAGATCTGAGATCCTACCTCAAATCTGAAGCTGTTGTCTACTCCATTAACCTGCACGAGAGAGACAGGCAAAGGAGATCGGGGGCTGAGGGGTGGTGGTGGGGGTCTCTACACCTCCATCCAGTTGGTAAGGGAAGATAGTACTTGGAATTTTTATTCAATCATATATTTTGGAATTTTTATTCAATCATATATATTTGGAAGTTCACAATATTGCTTTCCAATTTTAAACTTTCTATGTATAGTTACCTGTGGTTCCCAGGTTTGTGGATTTTATGGGCCATTAATATTTCAAATATGTTTGAGGGGCCTGTATAGGGTTGCCAAACTTCTATTTTGCCAGGTAAGAATATTTTTAAAACCTATAATTTAGCATCATTATCACTTCACGAAGTGAAAACTATTTCAACGTACAGGCACACGTGCATGCACACGCACAAAACTTGTAGCTCTGTGGAACGTGGGCTGCTGCTTGCCTTTGTTTTGATTTATGAAATATTTTACATAAATTATCTCACTTTATAATTCCAAAAACTCTGTCAATAAGATACAATTTGATAAGGAACCTGAGTTGTGTAGAGAGACTACACAACTCGATCAAATGTGCACAGCTATTAAATGAGAGATCTGAGATCCTAACTCAGTGTGTGCATGCGCATGCAAAGGGAGTTCCCAGACTACAATTTTGTGGTGTTGCAAAAGTTTTCTGGGAAAACCAACGTTTAGAACTTGGAAAACCTTACTCTACAAAACAAAACAAAAATACTATAAATGATGGCTAAGTTTCAAGCACACAGAGAAGATATAGAATATCTTTCTTTATTTTGGATATGAGGTAACTAAGGCTTCAGGAGATTAAGCAATGCTTTTAAATAGCACACAAGTGCTTGCAGAACCGAGACTAGAAGTGAATTATCCTGATAGCTATTTCAGTTCTTGTTTTCATCATCAGAGACAATAATACTATACTATCATTTTTACAGCATTACTAGTTAAATAGGCTTGTGAGGGGATAATTTTAAAACACTACTATTTACAAAAATGATTTATGGATGAATGCAATCTTTGGCAAAACTAAGAAATGCAAACATGGCTGTTATCACAAACAAAAGGCTTCCCTTTTACCTGCCCTTCCCTCCTCCCCCAACTACCTGGTCAAGGGAAATATAGTGTGATCTTCAGGGGTGAGTCTTCCCATCCCCCAGAATGGGATAATCATTTGACTCTGCATATGGAGAGTATATAAATCTGTGTGCTCTGTGTTTGCATCCACATTAGCAGTCAATATAAGACTGAAATTGGGTCACTGACATGTTCAGGAAATAGCTATTAGCGTAACCTTTCATTGGAATCCTATTTACTGTTCTGTTGGCCTAGCGTCTTCTCTGTGCTTTAATGTGCGCTGTCACATGAAAAGATCATTTGAGACCAGGGCCCTGAAGAGAAACAAGAGTGTGCAATCCACACAAACTTGTAAAATTCAAATACTTTGCCTCTTTCAAAGAGATGGTAACAAATGTATTAAGCTAAGGAAACTACAGTTTAAGGAACAAATGATTGAAGATGACCACAGAAGTTAAAAGCCTCTAAACAATTTCTCATGGTTGTTTCCAATTTATAATTATTAGCCCAGTCTCTCTAGTGCAAAGAAACAGGTATATGAGAATATACACATATATGTGAATATATGCAGATATATGATAAATGTTTATGACTATGAGCATTATATATGAGTATTTCATATATACTTGATATAGATAATATTACACACAAAATAAATATATATAATGTACATGTATATAGGTAATATTAGAGGATTTAGGAGATCAATATCAAGGAAAATGTTTCTACTTATAAAAAGTGGCACCATACTTGAGAACTTCAATTTTCTTCTCCATCTTCCACGGTTTGCATTTGACAGTAGCAATTGTTTGTCTTTTCTCGTCTAACTCTGCCTTCAATCTTTCCAATTCCTCTTTATCAATTTCTTCTTCTTCTTCTCTTTAAAAGAAAAAAAGAAACACCTTAGTAAAGTTAAGGTTTGCTTGACTTCCGAACTTAAGGAAGACAGATACCACATATTTAGCCCATTTTCAAAGATGTGGCCATATACAGTCAATGCTAGGACCTATAAGCACAAGAACTCATATCTGAACACTGATGTAAGATTACTGGAATTATTATAACTTTAAGCAGTAGGATTTGCCTTCCTGAATCTAAACTTTTTTTTCTTTCTTTCTTTTTTTTTTTTTTTTGAGATGGAGTTTCACTCTTGTCACCCAGGCTGGAGTACAATGGCAGGATCTTGGCTCAGTGCAACCTCCGCCTCCTGGGTTCAAGCAATCTGCCTCAGCCTCCCGAGTAACTGGGATTACAGGCACCTGCCACCTCGCCCAGCTAATTTTTGTATTTTTATTAGAGACAGGGTTTCGCCATGCTGGCCAGGCTGTTCTCAAACTCCTGACCTCATGTGATCTACCTGCCCTGGCCTCCCAAAGTGCTGGGATTACAGGCATGAGCCACCATGCCCAGCCTAAGCTATTCTTTTATGTCTAAAGCCTCAAATTTTCTGAACTAGAAAATCTGTGGAAAGAAAAACAGATATATCAAGATATTTCCCTCTCTTCTTTGTTCCCTTGAATACCTTCCCCAATTCTACATTTCATTTAAAAACTTAATTTTTCAATAAGGATAATAAATTAGAGGTGAAGATGTCTTTGAGTGCCCTTAAAAATTTTGTTAGCCCTGTCTCAAGAGAAAAAAAAAAATTGAAATTGAGAAAAATAAAAATCTGTTTCTTAAAGGTAACTTAATTTGTTATCTGTTAATTAAACTGTAACTTTAATGGGAAAAATTCACCTTGAAATATTGGTGGAATATATTTCAATCCTTTGAAGAGACTTTCAAAGGAATGTAGTTCCTACTGAGCATGGATGTAGCTTTTCTTTTTTGTGTTCCTAGTATTACAAAAACACTACAGGGTCCAGAACTCAAAGAAAACAAAATCTAAATATGAGCAACATAATTTTAAATTGAGGCATGCAATACCCTATCGTAGAGATCAGGTTTTTTTGTTTTTGTGTGTGTGTGTGTTTTGGTAATAGAGTGTTTCAGTTATTAAGCTATTGTCTCAACTTCAAACACACCATCCTACACTTTAATATTGTGGTGCTGGGGCTGGTATTTTGTGAGTTACATTTCTGCTTTGTTAGCTGGGTCAGTATAGACTCTGACAATAGGGGATACTGAGGAGAATCTCCGTCTTTCCTGTGTCTTCCTCTCTGCTTCCTATTTGCTTTGTGGGATGATACTTCCTCCTTAGCAACACCTGGAGTTGAGCGTCCTTTCCATAACTGCAAGTGAATCCACATTACCAATCTTACCAACACTAGCAGAATCAGCTTCATCACCTCTCCCATCAAAACCAGCAAGGCAGAGCATCAGCCCCTCTGCAGAGTCCTGAGTTTTACCTTCAAGGGTCTTTCCTCTATGCTACAGTGCTTTCATTTCAACTTTTTCCATTGTTCCTCCAGCCCTTAGAATGGCAGCTACTTCCAGTAGTTACCGTCACCATGATGCTTTAGTGTTCTCTTTTTGCCTTTTCAGTAGTCTAATTAACAATTATTTATACCTCCTAACAATTCACTTATTAAACTCTCTCTGTTCAATTAACTGTTGAAGTTTCTCCCCTCACTAGACACTGACTGATAACAAAAATTGTAATCCAATTTAGTATTACTCAGAAAAATATTTTATTTTTCACTAAGTGCAGGACTAGACACAGTAGAAATATGGTAAAATTTACTTTTTAAAGTTCTAGCTGAGGAATAGGATATAACCACAGTTTCATAGTTCACCCTACAAAATGACTTTCAATCTCCTTTCTTTGCCACCAATCTATAGTTTTTAATCATGCTGTGATTACCGAAACAAAAATTCATATTAACCATTTAAAATAACACTTCCTGCCCACAGTTTGTTTTTTGGACAATTCAAATATTTTGCTTAAAATAATCATCATGGTTTAAGAGAACCAGGGAAGTACACTCTTCTAAGACACATCTCTGATTGTTTATATTTTAATTATTTGGTGTTTATCATATAGAAGCCTATGATGCTGTGCAGTAATGGCATAAAATATTTCAGGATTTTTTTTACTGCATCTATATCCAATTTTTTTTTAATTTGCCAATTAGAATGATATGTGGGTTAGTTTGTCTTGGGAGTTAAAGATGTGCTTTAATAAAAAATGATTAGAATTGTTTCCATGCAAACATAGAAATAACTCGAAACTATATAGATAACAGTTTTAATGAAATATTTCCAGAAACTTCAAAAATAAAATAGATGCCAAGAAATTATCAGTAATAAAGTCAATTAGAAAAAAACCTTTAAGATTAATGATTTAATTGCTTGATATGTTAAGCCTTTAACTTGTCAATTGTTTCAAAATAATTCATAATATTTATGTACAATTACCTTAAAACTTTACATTACTGTATTTCCATTAAGAATCACATGTAAAACCACATCTCTAATCCAGCATCAGCAAAGAATGAAAAACTGATCTATATGATGTGTGGATTTGCCAGGTAACTAAACCTATACGCCAACTTTCAGAAATCCTTTAATGGAAACCATTCTAACACTAATTAAATAGTTTATAAGTTTAACCTGTCCAAATTCTAAGTCCTTTAAAAATCAAATGAATTGTCTTTAGTAATTAATCCCTTCTGTAATTATCCCTGTGAGAAGAGTTTTCACTTCTCTGAGACTCCAAGCTACTCTGGGACACATATACGGTCTTATGTCATAATAATTTGTATCTAAGTGGCCTCTCCCTTACTATATTATAGACTTTTGAAAATGCAAGATTGCAGGCAATTGCATGTTCATATCCAAGTATCCCAAAGATGTTAGCAACTTAGGTTGTGCAAAAGTAAAGGAAGATAAATACTTATTGAATAAACACATGTGAATAAGTACTTATTGAATAAACAAAACTTTTCTGGAGAGTTCAGGGTTATCATCATAAACCCAGTGCTCAGAGTACACTAAAATATAACAATGACCTCTGAGATTATTATGGTATGGAAAGACGTTTATTCCTATACTAAATGATCCCAGACTGGTATATCTTTTAAGTCTCTGTTGTTAATTGTTTATTTCACCAGGAGGATCATGCTGTGTTACAGGGTACAGTTGTTGAGACATAAGTTACCCTCAAATATGAAAGTAATTAAAATACTTTTCTAACCAGCATTACAGGAAACCTGCTTTTCTAGAATCACTCAAAGAAAGGGCTAATCATATTAAAAGCCATAGGCACGCTTCATCTAAATTTTCAAGCTAATCTGTGCAAGAATGGCTTTCTATCTTAAGTTTGATATATTTAAACAACAGTTGTTAGGAAGAAAAAGGCATAATATGCTGAATTTCTCACTGCTATGAATATATTACTTATTCTCTTAAAACTGGGTCAGGAAAAGCCTGTAATATTACTGGAAATACTCCAAAATGTCTAACAAGGCAGTGTTTTTTTAACTGCCTCCAAAGATAGTTTGCATTACAACCTTGGTTTTAGTTGGTTTCAAATGTTGTGTCAATGAAAGGGAAATTCCCTGAGGCATTACTTGAATATTTAAATAAAAAAGACCCTGAATTAATTAACCTAAATAATTGTGCCCTGATTTGCCTACCAATCTTTCTCAAAAATATTATCTAAGATTTTCTTTAAAAAAAGATGTTTATCTTCAAAATAAACAACAGAAAATAGACTCTAAAATAGAGAATAGAACTATCAATAATCACAACTAATTTCTTATACTATTTATAATAGATGCACAAATTGTACCAGCAGAAATACAATTTGTAAAACATATGGAGAGAGTTTGGTTATGTGGAAGAGTGGGACCTAAGGAATCTTGATTCTCAAGATCAGAATAGAACATAAGGCCAGCTAGGGAGAGACACTGTCATAGGCACAGGATCCAGTTGCTTCACATGGCCCCATTTCCTACAGGTTGAGCAGTTGCCATGAGGGCCGTCAGCAGGTGAAAAGAGCAAAGGAATTCCTGCCCAACTCATCTTTTTAAAAGGATTTTTTTTTTTTGAGGCATAAGTAGGAAAAGCAAATTTTGGAACACAACCTATATCATGCATACATCAATTGGTGATGTTTTCTCAATGAAATACCCCCGTCAGAAAGCATAAGCTTTGCTAAATAGGAACTGTTACTATATAATAATGGAACTAACAATCACAGTAATACCTGGGACTTAACATTGTGTTGCATTTTATTTTTGAAAGGAATAAAGTATGAAGGTACTTTAAAAGCAGATCCAAATAAAAAATACTAGAGTCAAAATTTAAAATAAAATTTTGTCTTGGTATGCAAAAGAGGGAAAGGGGAAGCTGGGGAAGAGAAGAAGGAAAACTAAGACATGAAGTTCATAGGGTTATTCTTATCTAAAAGAGGCTGTTGTCTGTTAATATTAAGCTTCTCTACTTGACAAATTTTTCATACAGTTGTTTTTAATAACAATCATTTATAAGGAATAATATAATAGTTAGAGCTATTGAGTACAGAAGCGTGTCATCTTGGAAGGACATCTTAGAAAGTTCCTCATGCTTTAAAGTCCTAGGAGTGCTTGGAGGAGATTCCACCGCCTGATGGTGATTCACATGGCCCTGTTACCTGTAAGTCGTGGAACAGGTTGACTGTTCCCTTTCATTCGTTCCAAGGGGTCTAGGTTTTCTCTTATTAGAGGTATTTTATACACACACTTTTCCTACCTGCCTGCTATCTGCAAATTTCCAAAAAACCAAAGACAAGAAAAGTCTCTTCTTGGATGTTTCCCAAATAGCATTAAATATATTATTCTGCACAAAGTCAGCATTCAGTAAAATGTTTTCCTGGTGGAACTGAACGATATTGAGCTGTACTAAAAAGAAAATGACAACCCAAATCCTCTGTAACAGAGGCTACCACACTTTCTTTCTGTAAAGGGCCAAACAGTTAATATTTTAGGCTTTGAGTGCTATATACAACTCTGTCCCATATTCATCTTTGCTTTTAGTTAATAGCCCTTTAAAGCTGTAAAAACCATCTTGGGCTGGATTTAGCCATAATTTGCCAAACCCTGCTCTGAAAGATAAAATGATGTGTGCTCACTATTTAGAAGTTTCTACTTAACCTAGATAACAATACATATAATTAGTGGAATAATTTTAAAATCTTTAAATTAACTGTAATATGTCAATGACCTATGATAATTTAGATCCTTCATAAGGGAATTTCTCATGGTCCACTTTTAATATATATTCATGTTAAAATTCTATTTTAACTATTAAAATACATTTACTTAAGTAGAATAAAAAGTATCATCAGATTAAGGCTGTCTTTCTAAAATAGTTTTAATTACCAATTTTAAGGTCAAAGAGTGTCTAAAAGGAATGATCATCTTCAGCATTGGAGCTTTCAAAAGAATATCAGAACTAACTTACGCTCCTCTCTTTAGCCTCCTCCTCCTCTCTTTTTCTCTTGCCTTCCTTGTTTCTTCATCCTCTGGTTCAGGTTCTGGGTCATCCTCATTGATAACATCTCTGGTCCGTTTCCTCTTTGGTCTCAAGCTCTCTCTTCGAGGTAGTTTATCTTCCTCCTCTTCTTTCTCTTCACCTAAACAGAGAGGTTGATTCAATGAGTAATGTCAGAAAATGCTTCCTCCCACTAGCAAGTTTATTCTTAGTTTTTAATAACTACTATTACACATCTGACAGCACAATCTAGCAATTCTCCACATCATGATAAGGTGCATCATGGCATACATATTTCATGGTCCATCATTTAAATAAATGTATGTAGATTTCCATTTCCATTGTGATTCATTGACTCAGATATGTGACTGAGTCAAATTTTAATATGTTTTTGAAGAGGTTCTAGTGTTCATTTACTTGAGTAACTAAACAGTTTGGTGGTTAATATCATACCATGACCTCTAAGACTTTTCAAATAAGTCCAAGTTTAGAGCTTACCATTCCATTACATAATTGTTGAGTGATTAACCACTTCATATTTACCACTACTTCTATCTTAGAACAAAGAAGAGAAATGTTAAAAAGATGCTACAAACTAGAATAATTTTGGAGAAATTCATTCAGCCCTGAAGTTTTCTCCCAATTTAAATTTTCTTCATTCTTGATTCTAAATATTTTTTTCCTTTTTTCTAAATATTTGTTTTCTTTCCCTTAAAAAAAAAGTAGTATGCACACTTGCTTGGTCATTTATTTCTTATGAATAGAAACAGGTAACTTATAAATTTAATGTAAAATTGAGAATATGACAGTATTATTTTGTTTAATCAGCAACTAACAATCAATTCCTCATATTTTTATAATTTTTTAGGATGCTTCCAAGCAAAGAATAGAGAGATAATTAAGATAAAGGATAAACTTTCCTTCACAAAGTTTGTAACATAACATTACTACTTCAGCTTCATTTCTATTGCTTCTAATTTCTTCTAACATTTAGAATAAACTATTATAAAAAAATATTACAGTTATCATTATCCTCTTAAAAAGAGGCTACCATAGGAAAAAAAATTATACTTCAATGGAAAACTATGAATTATCTGTAGCATACCTTTCTGTGTTATCTGATTCTGATTTTATGGAAACTACATGACAACATTGAAAATTATACATAGCCATATAGCAATACAAAACACTTCTTATCTGTAGATATCCAAATAAACTCTTTCCAATGGTGAGACAAGCCCCTTTCAAAAAACAACTTTGCCTTTATTTGTATAGTCATTTCAATATATATTATCTATTAATGTATCTATTCTTTGGACTTTCCTTTGAACTGATTATAGTACCTCAAAATTGTTTTATTAGTTAAATATGTTCCTTTCACATATGTGTGAGTAATCATTTTGTATTTTCAAAATTATCTTTGATTACCACTTAAAACTTTTTTATTGATATTTCATGTTTAAGATCTAAATATTACCTATATTACTAAATGTCAGATGTCAGAAACAGAAACAGAATAACATTTTTTTTTTTTGAGACAGAGTTTTGCTCTGTCACCCCAGCCTGGAGTGCAATCAGGCTGGAGCGCAATAGCACAATCTCAGCTCACTGCAACCTCCACCTTCAGGGTTCAGATGATTTTCCTGTCTGAGCCTCCTGAGTGGGTAAGATTACAGGCATGCGCCACCACACCCAGCTAATATTTTGTATTTTTAGTAGAGACAAGGTTTCACCATGTTGGCCAGGCTGGTCTTGAACTCCTGGCCTCGAACTCCTGGCCTCAAGTGATTTACCAGCCTCAGCATCCCAAAGTGCTGGGATTACAGGTGTAAGCCATCATGCCAGCCCATAGTAACTTTTCTAACTGGGCTTGGAAAACTAAATACATATTCTGTCATCCAAATCAAGAATGAGTTTCTGTTTGTTAAATGTCGTGGCAAATGTATGATATCTGAACCCCCTCATGGTATTCTGCATATTTACCCAGCATTTATTAGCCACATTAGTCACTGATTAAAGAAAGGACAAAATCTTAACAGGAGGTAAGAAACGATTTCATCCACTAATAACTCACAAACCCAAGAAGCTACTTGGTATTCTGAATTTGAGTATTTTTGTATTAAAACTAAACTACTGGGATGACATCAACAAGATGACAGAATAGGAAGCCCTGGCCCCTTCATCCCTCCATGGATATAAAAGTTCAACAACAATGTGGAGATAAACTCCCTTTGTGAGAAATTCAAAAACTAGTTGGAGGGTGCCTGCACCCTGGATGAACACAAAATCAGCTAGGAAGCTGGTAGAAAAATCTGACACACCCTCACACCGTAATTCCACCCCACCATACAACTGGGCGGAAACCACCATCTCCCAGTTTATCCCTGGGGAAGGGAGAAAACAACTGAACCATGTGTCCAATATTCCGATTTTTCTGTGGCTTCCCAAGGGACTGGTTTCTGTCTTGCCAGAATCTGAGTACTGACCAGAAAAGACCTCTGGTTGGGAACCAATGAGAGCAAAGATAGCCATTTTAATAGTATGCCAGCACTCACAATAGCCCCTTCCACAACTTAGAGTGACCAGATGAAAAACACCAAATCTCCACCTCTGTCTGGGGAGAACAAGAGTTGGATAGGGCATCCAACACTCCAACTTCTGGAAAGGATGTCTGAAGAACTGGTTAATGTCCCACTTATCTCCTAGAGCACTAATGGGACCCAGCATACGCTAGATGGCCCAGGGTCATGGAGAACAAAGGTGAAGTTTTGAACTAGTTTGTACTTATTCATCAAAGCCCCTTACCCCAGTTCAGTGTAACACAACTGGCAAGAATGCCAGCCCTTGACTTACCCCTGAAATGGGACAAAAAAGACTGAAATATATATTCAATGTGCAGACTTTTCAGGAGGCTGCCTAACAGAATGGCCAATCTCAGAGCATGGACAGGACCCAGCGTACTGTTGATGCCTGGGGGCCATTGGAAACAAACAAACAAACAAAAGAATTCAGGACATGCTGCTTCCCCAGAAGACACATGTTATGACAGAAGGACACTGGAGGGAAGAAAAGATCATGAATTCTTAAAAAGAAAAAGGTCAACTGAAAATCCCTCTTATTGAGAATTTACACACACAAGTCCAGAGAGGATGCATACATAGGAAATGTTTGAGAGGCCCAAGAATCTCTGGCCTGCATCCCTGGTGAAAATCTTCTCCTATATAAATCTTGTCCTTATCCTGAAGACTGGGAAAAGAATCTGTTTTTTCTAATATACAGGTACCAACACACACACACACACACACACACACACACACACACACACACACAATCAAGAAAAATAAAGAAACAGGAAAACATGCCCCAACGAGAGAAAAAGATAAAGCTCCAGAAACTAGCCCTAATATGATGGAGATACATGAATTGACTTAACAGACTATTAAAAATAACTCATAAAGATGCTCAACAAAGTCAGAAAAAAAAATGCATGAACAAAGTGAGAATTTCAACATAGAAATAAAAATATAAAAATAACCAAAGATAAATATTGAAGAGTATGAGACAACAACTGAACACAATAACTGAAGAATACAATAAGTAAAATTCACTACAGAGGCACAACAGCAGACCAGATCAAGCAGAAGAAAGAATTACCAAACTAAAAAATAGGGTATTGAAATTATACTGTTAGAAGAGCAAAAGCTTAAAAAAATAAGAAAGACTGCAGAAAGTTTTATGAGGGATCAACAAGCAGACCATATATATACTATGAAAGTATATATATACTCTCATATATATATACACACACAACTCTCTTATATATACTATAAGAGTTATGAAGGAGAATAAAAGAAAGAAAAGGCCAGCAAGACTACTGAAAGAAATTGATAGCCAAAATCTTCCCAAATCTGGGGAAGGAAATGGAACTCCAGATTCAGGAAGCCCATAGACCCTAAATTATATGGATCCAAATAAATCTACACAAAGACATATTATACTTAAATTGCCAGAAGTCGAAGACAAGACAGAATTTTGAAAGAAACAGGAAAGCAACTTGTTGTATACAAGGAAATCTTCATAAAACTATAGGTGATTTCTTAGCAGAAACTATACAGGCCAGAACAAAGTAGGATGATATTTTCAAAGTGCTGAAAAGAAGAAAAAAAACCTGCCAACCAAGAATGCTATACTCAGCAAATCTGTACTTTATAAATGAAGGAGAAATAAAGACTCTCAGACAAACAAAACCTAAGTTAATCACCCCTAGACTTTTCTTACAGGTAATGCTAAAGGAAGTTCTTTATGTTGAAATGAGAGGACACTAAACAGCAAGACAAAATTACATGAAAATATAAAACACTCTGGTAAAGATAAATATATACACAAATACAGGATACTATAATACTTTAATGACAGTATATAGATAACTTTTAATTTTATTATAAAAGTAAAATAACAAAAGTATTCAAAGTAACTATAAATATATATTAATGAATGCATAATATAAAATTATGAAAATCAAGACATCAATAACATTAAGTGTCAGGGAAAGTAAAATCATAGTTGTAGTATGCAATTGAGTTTAAATTGTTTTCTGTTTAATATAGGACTTTTATTTATAATTATGAAATGTTGAACATAAGTCCCATGGTAACCACAATAAAATTTATATAGAAGATACACAAAGAAAAAGAGAAATGAATCAAAGTATATCACTATAACAAAAATTAATAAAACATAAAAGAGAATAGCACAATATAAAAAAGGGACAAAAGAGCTTTGAGACAAAAAACAATGAACAAAATGGCAAAAGTAAGTCTTGCTCTATTGATAATAACTTTAAGTGGATTGAACTTCCCAATCAAAAGGCATAAAGTGGCTAAATGGATTAAAAAACAAACAAAGTTTAAAAAACAAGGTCCATCTATATTCTAACTACAAAAGACTCACTTTAGATCTAAGGACACACATAGGCTGAAAGTGAAGGGATGGAAAATGATAATGTTATGCAAATGGTAGCTAAAAAATAACAGGAGTGGCTTTACTTATATCAGACAAAATACACTTGTAGTATAAACTGTCATACACAAAAATAAGGACATTATATAGTAATAAAAGGGCCAATTTACCAGGAAGATATCATAATCATAAGTATATATGCATTCAACATCAGAACATCTAAATTTATAAACATTAACCAAACTAAAGAGAGAAAATATACAGCAATATAATTATAGGAGGACACTTCAATACTCTACATTCCATAATGGACAGAGCATCTAAACAGGAAATCAATAAGGAAATAGCAGACATGAACAACATTCTAGATCAAATGGACTTAGCAGACATATACAGAACATTCTACCTAATAGCAGCAGAATGAACATTCTTCTCAAATGCATAAAATATTACTCTAACATTCTCTCTGCCCTGTCTGTGTAAAAACTGGTCATAATGAAATCATCCAGCCTACCTCGTGTAAATCATAAGACCCTCATTCCAAAGAGTGTCCTGCCCCATACCCAGAAGAAAGAAATGCATGCTTAGAGAGGCCGAGAAGAATCTAGGCAGACAGCCTTGTGGCATTTTCCCACTCAGAATGTAAACATTAGATTATACTCCTTTTGTCCAATCATATTTCTACACTGCTGTCCATACTTTGTTGAACCTAAGGATAAAAATAAACAAATTTTTCTATCTTTGGGTCTTCATCCTAAGGCTTTAATGAATACATGTTCTATAAATTTATATGCCTTTTATTCTATTAATATACCTTTTGCTGGTTGATTTTTCAGCAAACATTCAAGGGACCAAGGTGTTGGCCCTTAAAATGCCAACTGAATAGAATCTAGAGTGGGGATTCTGTTTGCTGAACTTGATTCCTCCTGTGAGACCATGAAAAATTATCCACACACACTTCTGCTTATAAGAGCTAGCTCAAGGCCACAAGATAAGAGGATAAATCCCTTGAATTTACTGATATTCCATAGGAAACATATCCCAAGTGGGCCCATCATCACTTACTTGAGCTTTCCTCAGTATCGTCTTCTTTTTCCTCCACTCTGATTTGTACTGTTGAGGAAAGAAAAGAGTACAGCAATTATTTAAATGCCTGTATAATTGTTAGTAAGTGGTTTTTACTTTTATCGTTTTTATCATAATGTTTCTGTGCAGTCAGTAAAAATTTTCCATAAACTTGTCAAAATGAGTATGATTTATTAAAGTTATACAGCTACAGCATCTTATACAATGCCATGCAAAGATTTTTCTATGTCATTATCTTCAGGGATTTGCAAAACATAGCATTTATAAGACCAATTCAAAATTATAAGTTATCAGCTCAATTTAAAATAACGTCAACTGAAATAAATTCTGTATTGCAATAGTTGGACTTGGGGTTTGTTGGGTTATTTTATTTCATAAAAAATTGAATTGTTAATAAAGCTATATCCACATGCCCAAGCCAATTAGGTTAATAACCATTAACTACTTAAAAATAGAGAATAATTCATTCCAACCACTTTTACCAAGCATGAAAAAGTCTTTAGAAAAATGATTAAAGCCAGATCTTTTCAATTTCAATTATTTTTATAGGTGTTATATTAATAAAGCCTAAATTTCCCAATATGTAACTCCCCTTGGCAATGTGGAGATAGGTAATTTTACAGTTCTTTCCAAGACAAAGAACACTTTCTCTGTTTATTCCTCACCCCATACTCTTTTTGTCCAATCATATTTCTACACTGCTGTCCATACTTGGTAATATAAGTAGAGAACAAAAAAGAGCTTGTTTATGGTTTTGCTTCCAGTTTATAAAGACATATAAAGCTTTTATAAAATTTTTAATGCTATAGTAATATGAAAAAATATATTTATTGGCATATTTTTTCTCTTGTAAAGTTAGTATCCTTTCATCACAGGTTTCTTGCCTTGGAAAAATTAGAATATTTCTTAAAAATCAAAGTCTATTAACTTACTTATGAAACATGAATTTTATAATATTTTTATTTAAGATGGAATGGCATTTGTCCAAAAAAGCAAAGATGACAAACAATGTTGCTGTGAACAGATGAAACAACCTCTGGTTTTGTTTCTGTTCACTCACTGTCAAAGGTTATTATTCAGAACTTGACAGGCATATTGAAAAGGCAACACATGCCAGGAGAGTAATTCCATTCACAAAGAAAATTATTGTCAAAGCACTTTCTGCTTTAAACAGCATCTGTGTAAAAAATTTTAGGATATGCAAAAATGTTATCACTCAACATCAGCCACAAAATGTGAAAATAAATGTTCTTTTGTTCAAAGTGAACATATGCCTTCTGCTGCTGGCTGCAACTGAATCTACACAGGACAAAGATCTTTATGTCACTACTGAGAGTTTGCAATAATGAAGGCAGATACTTCTAAGGAGATATTCCACATTCCACAATAGGTCATGGTCTTTTATTTGCAATTAATGTCACAACTAAGCTTCTTCAGTCAAAGAAAGATTCCCAAGGAAAGAATTTTAATGATACCAGATTAGTGTTGAAGCAGGGTCTTATCAGTTATATATAAAGAAGAAACAGCTGAGGACAAATAGCAAATGCTGACCCATAGCCTACTTTGCAATATGCATAGCCAAAGCAAATGTTTAAAACATTTGTACAATGTATTAGGCTGATTTGTAATGATTATTTCACCAGAATGTGATTATATAAAGTTAATTAAATAAAATAGGAAAACTACTAAATCAATAAAAATATAAGCAAATCTTTAGGAAGGATCATATATTAAATAAAAACAGCAGAATAAGGTATCCCAAGCTAAGGAGATAAGCAACGACTCAGTTTTCTCTAATAACCAAGGGAGAGAAAAAGCAGTGCTAGAGACATGAATCATCTCTGGCACAGAAAGAATAGTTATAAACAACCATTGAATAAAACCTAAAAATCATAAGGGAAGATATTCCCTGTGGTGGCAAGTAGAGAACAAAACAGAGCTATGACTTCTCAGTGATGCAATGAAGATGCTGCAGAAATGACATTCCCTCCTCTTGAATTGGTTTTCCAATAGTGATTCTGGTCTGTGCATGATTGTTTCCACATTCTCATTAGGTGGTTTCTTTGCTTAGCAGCATTCCTTTGTCTGATCACGGAAGTCATTTTTTGTAGTCATTGTGATAATACTTGTTCTTTTCTTGAGTGAAACCCTCAGCAAAGGCATCATCAGCATCAAGAACTAAATAGCAGCACTATGACCAGGAGATTTAAGACACTATCAAGATCCTTAGACCAAGATTGATTTTAATTGAACATTATTCAGCCTGAAAAGTAACTATCAGCACTGGCCTACATCTCCTGCAACTTAAAGCAATATGCTAAAGGATCACATTAAAAACTCCCCCCAAGACAAAAACCTGTGCAAAGAGATAACTCAGAACACTTGAATAGGAGCTACAAACTATTTCCTTTCTCAGACAATCTTTGAGAAGTCCTGTTGCCATCACTTCTCTCAGCAATCCCTAGTACCTTATTCCCAATCATTTGATCTCCTCATGCCATGGCTGCTCCCCAATGCCTATTGATAATGTACTTTAAAAATAACCTTCTCTCCTGGGGAGTGATGGGGGGATAGTGAAAGAAGAGGAGGGGAAGTCTGTCAAAATGTTGGAGGCAGCAAGCAAAACTGCATTGAAGTATGTGTAGTTAAAAGAGGAATATGCAATAGGAGCAGATGAACTCCTAGGCAACCCAGATCCTCATTTCATGCAGATAGACTTGGTAATTAAAAACAGTAAAAGGAAACAACAGCAAAATGTCACATTTCAGAGGCATAGGAGTCGTTCAGACAAGTGGATGTTGTTCTGGGCTCTCTTTTTTAATCTATAATGCTGAAAGTAGTTTATGCTTCCTTAGGATAATACAGTGACCAAGTGGCCAGAAGAGTTTAATGGTATTGCCTTTTTCTCTAATCCACATTTACCTCTTGAAGCAATGTTTATAGCTCCAGGTTATTATTTGAGAAACTGAAAATTCACTTATTGAATCACCATTTATTGTGCACTCACAAAGGAATACAGAGAAAATGCTCTTGGATAGGAGTTTGTAGACGGTAAAAGAAAATACCGCTGGCTTTGATGAGTCTTACTATTTGATGCAAAAGAATGACTTTATAGGCCTGGCACAGTGGCTCATGCCTGTAATCCCAGCACTTTGGGAGGCCAAGGTGGGTGGATCACTTGAGGTTAGGAGTTTGAGACCAGCTTGGCCAACATGGTGAAACCCTATCTCTACTAAAAATACAAAAATTAGCTGGGCATGGGGGTGTACGCCTGTAACCCCAGCTATTTGGGAAGCTGAGGCAGGAGAATCGCTTGAACCCGGGAGGCAGAGGTTGCAGTGAGCCAAGATTGTGCCACTGCACTCCACCCTGGGCCACAGAGTGAGACTCCCTCTCAAAAAAATAAAATAAAATAAGAATGACTTTAAAACAATAAGGTTTGAGATTAGGTATGGATATCTTATCTAGTCTACTTGAGGAATAACAGCAATGTATTATCTAGCTCTTTTGTGTTTCTTCACAGGATTCTTTTTTGTGTATGAGGAATGTCAACATTGACTCTTCTCATACAAATTGGATGTCTATTACCGCAAACTAAACTTTCTTGACAGGGATGTTGTTAATCAATGGCATCACAGGAACAAATGAACCCATGTCATCCCTGTAGGGTGTAATGTGGGATGTGGGAGAAATAGAAAAATAAGAATAACCACAGGTTCTTTGCTTAAGCACCTAAAGAATGGAATTGCAGGAAAAGAAGATGGAAAACTATAGGGAGAATGGCTTAGTTAGGCGCTTTTAAAGATCAGGAGTTTAATCAGACCCATTGGATTTCAGGTGCCTTCTAGACATTCAAGCATGACATTAAGTAGGCAGTTGAGTATTTGAGCCTGGAGTTCAAAAGAAAGGTTTGGGCTGGAAATATGACTCAGGGAATTATCAGCATATAGATAGTATTTAAAGTCAAAAGACCAGATGAGAACACAAAGAAAATTTGTGTCAACAAAACAGAAAAAGGAGTCTCAAAATGGTGAGGAATGGGAAAAGAAGAACAAACTGAAGAGATTAAAAATGAACAATCAGCTCTTAAGCAGAAGGAAAGTCAGAGATTGTGGAAGACAAAAGATGTGCATCAGAGATGTATGGTAAGCTGCCGAGTAAAGTACAATGAGGACTGAAAATTGATCACTGGATTTGACAGTGTAGAGACAATGATGATCTCAGCCATCATAGATTTAGTGTAGTCGTGTGGCAAAAAGCTGAATTAAGTGGCTTCATCAGCTGATGGGCAGTGAGTTATAGGTTACAGCCATTTTTGCTAGTTGGAATGTTCTTATATACTGATAAAAAAGATCTAATGAGAATTGAGAAATTGATGATGTAGCCTATAAAATGAATCCCCTGTAATGTTATGCAAACAACAATGAATTAGATTATTAATTCCTCAGTTTTATTTCTCCTTTTGATTTGTCCCTGGGCTGTGCTTCTCAGGCTGATACTTTGTTAAAAGACTGAACAACTTACTAATATATCTCTTTCATATATTGGAGTCCACAATAGCAATTCAAAAGTATGGAGCTAAAAAATGGGGTAGGGAGAAGAGAATGAAAAGGAGTGAGAGGAGGAAGGAGAGAATAAGAAATAAAAGAGTAAATATGGGGTGAGAATTACAGTAAATGATAATGGAAAAGAATAAATATGAAATAAAATTTTGCATTTTTGTCTTGCTACATATGACAAATAAATATTTATATATGTATATATATATATACTGTATGTGTAACCTCAGGTATATATGTATATATATACTGTATGTGTATATATATATACTGTATGTGTAACCTCAGGTTAGCTAAAGTCAGACTACCTCTCTGTACTATTAATATTTTGCTTTAACAAGAATTTGAAGGTGAAAAGCTAGAAAATGTGAATAAAATAATTTTTTAACATGCTATATTCCAAAGTGAAATTTGTCATATTTTATAAGAAAAGTATGAGCCCTTAATGAAAACATAAAATCTCTCCTCTCCCTCTCCAGGGGAAAAAGAGAGAGAAGAGGGAAGACAGACCAGTGAAATTATAAAAATAAGCTATGATTTAAAAAGAAAAAAAAAAACCTCTTTAAAAGGCAACATTCTTTTGAATACACACTGTGTAATATTATATTCTGAAAATTCTAGGTATAAGGCCATTCAGTAGGCCCTCAAGTTACTAATGTCTGATTATAGCAATGATAAAAATGGTGGAGATGAATATTTTGATATGAAGAAAATTATACATAAGTATGCATGTGTATGTATATAAGCTACGTGAAGAACAGCATGTAGATGTTTTGCTTTTCTTAAAACCAAACAAGAAGTAAATCAATCCAAATTTCAAAGAAATGAGTAAAGTTAGCTCTAAAGAAGACCAAACAAGAATTGCCCAACAACGAGCCACTTGGATGCTAGATTGAGTCACCAAATCATATTCAGGCATCATCACCATATAGAGAATGGCCCATGATATGGTTCAAATTTGTGTTCCTGCCAAAATCTCATGTCTACTTGTAATCCCCACTGTTGCAGGAGGGGCCTGGAGGGAGGTGACTGGATCATGGGCACAGACTTTCTACTTGCTGTTCTTGGAATAGTGAGTTCTCATGAGATCTTCTTGTTTAAAAGTGTGTAGCACCTCCCCCTTCTCTCTCTTTTTCCTGCTCTGACCATATAGGAGGTGCCTCCTTCCCCTTTGCCTTCTGCCATGATTGTAAGTTTCCTGAGGCCTCCATGAGGAGGCTGGATAGCAAAAAGCAGCCATGTTTTCTGTACAGTCTGCAGAACCATAAGTCAATTAAACTTATTTTCTTTACAGGTTACCCTGTCTCCGGTAGTTCTTTTTAGCAGTGCAGGAATGGACTGACACAGCCCAACTCTCTGATTTTATGATAACACTATTGGTGGTTGTCAAGTAGGGAACTGAAGTTATTCTCTACAAAACAAAATAAAAATAATGGGATGCAATTCTTCTTACTCTAGAATAAAATATACCCAAGATTATTAAATCTCACTCAGGTTAACTACACAGCTCCCTTTATTTTTGCTACTTCTAGGTCAGGACAAAAAGAAGCTTATGCCATTTGTTTATAACAGTCCCAAGTCCTTCAAATGCTGGTATTAAATATAATATTTCAGAAGCCATTGAATGAGAGAATAATTGTTTAGTTCTTATAACAATCAAATACCTTAATAAACCTGTAAGCTATAGACATTTAAAAAATGATCAGGAGTGAGAAACACAGAAATGAGATCATTACACAAATATCATCAAAGTATCTGGGGAAAAGATTTAATGAGACAGACCTAGGCTGATATTTCTTCTGTGTGTACTAGTATCTTATCTTCCTTAAGACCAGTTTTGTGAAAACCAGAGGGTACACACATTCAAAAACACCCTCCTGAAGACTTGTATAATAAATGCCCCCAAAGCTGGTCATATTTTCAAACATTGCAATATCTTGGAGATACCAAATATTTACTTTCAATCTCTGTGGTTTTAAAATTACAAAGAGAATAATAGTTTTTTCTCTTTTTTTCTTTTGAGTTAGAGCCTCTCTCTGTCACGAGGCTGGAGTGCAGTGGTACTGAGGGACTATATTAACTTCTCTTCCCAAGTCCACAGGGGGTGTGGTTTCAAAGGCAAGAACTTCCCAGCTCCATGCCTCCATCCACCTCCCCAACCCAGAACTTAAGAGTTCTTTGTCTAACTTTCCCAGGCACAGGCTAGGTAAAATTACAGGTGAGCTTTGTTTAGAAAGCCCACCAAAAGCTCTGGGGGAGGAGGCTTTAACTACAGGCCAAGCAGGCAATCCAGCATCAGAGTCAAAGATCAATCACTCTAGAGGAAGTTTGAAAGAACTCCTCTCATTGGACAAGAACAGGAATGGGGCAGGAATAACTTCAAAGTTAAAACTCCACTGCACCCTGCCTGCAGGGATTTCCCTCTCTGCGATCCCTTCCACAATAGCGTGGGACCTCTCTCTTCTCTACTTCTCTCTCCCTCCCTCCCTCCCCCGCCACTAATAAATCACTTTGCAAAACTCTTTGCATCCGATATTTTCTTAACGAGTAAACTCACAGCGCTGAAGAAGCCTCTCCCCAATTCCTGGGGCCAGGGAGCCCAAGAACCTCAGGCACATCAAATTGGAGGGGACGGGGGTAGTTAATCCCTGTCCTGTCCCCCGACCTGGTTACACCTTTGTCGAGCCAGCCAGGAGAAGACTTAGGAGTGGTTAAGTGTATCGGACCACTCTCACTTGCTAAAATCTATCCTATTCACTTCTTTTAAATCACTGGGTCTGAGTGGGACTGAGCACAGCGGGAGTGGTCGCTCTAGCCCGCAGAAGTGGTCGCTGTGCACACAAAGTGCCACACTCACCCGTGAACTGGCCAGAGCCACAGGAGCAGCAACTGCGGGTGCCAGAGGCTCGCAGTCCTTTGCAGGCCCCACCCAATTTTTGAATAGCACAGGGCCAAACTTAAAGGTACAGGTGTCCAAGCAAGCCTCCTCCAGGGCTGGCCACCTGCCGTGGCACTCCATGAGGGTGTGCTTCCCCCAGGAGGCCCGCTAATTAAAACACTAGGCTGTTTGCTCACAGGCCACACAGTCCTGGTCATAAACTGAGCACATGGGGCAGGCGCCTGCCCGCTGTGAGGTCCACTTTCAAATAGCACACTGCAGCCATGGCTGGGCCTGGTAGCCACAGTTGCTGGCTGCACACAGCCACAGCTGGGCTGGGCAGGCACGGTCTCAGGTAAGGCTTGCCCAGCCTCTAAATAGCACGGGTCAGCCACATTTAAAGGCACAGCGCCGGCCTTCTCCATATCAGCTTCCTTTTCTAGCTGTACTTTGTTTCTCTGGGCCAAGGTGCCTGTGGAGTGGGAGGGTGCAAAGAGGAAGACGGGCCATGGGCATGGCCAGGCCAGGCCCGGGGCTCCGCATGCTGCAGCGCCCCACATCACCCAGCTGCAGCCACTCATGAGGAGCAGAGCAAGCAAGCTAACCCAAGCCTGTCAGCGGAGGCATGGCGGCCCAGTTCCAGCAAGATTGCGCCAAGCCAGGCAAGCCCTCCCAGCGTCTGAGTGCAGGCCAGGCCCCTGCCACCTCCGGGCACGGCATTTTTTTTCTTGGGGGACACTTAAGGGAGCCTAGCCACTCCCAGTGCATTGACAGAGCAGCCAACCACAGCCTGTTTTTGGGAGAAGGCAGAGCTACAGGGAGGGGCCTAATGCAGGCACGTGGCAATGGCAGACAGCAGCACCACAGGGGTGTGACTCTGGTGGCACTAGCCCCCTGCTGGGCAGTGTCAGCCCAGCGAACCATGCCTGCAGTGCCCTTTGGCTTATGCCTATGAGGACCTCCTGTGGTATAAATGTACAGAGCCAGCTCGCTTAGTCCACAGTGCTACGTTAAATCCTAATGGAGTTAGAGTCTTATCAGTGGATACTGAGGGGCTATAGAATGTTTTTTTTGTCACCTGCAAATTTCCCAATCCAACTAAATGGTACCAGAATCTAATGATGTACAATTTGTCTTGCTTAGGGTCAGCTTTCCGTATGGCAGAACTTCTCCATCTAAAATACCATAGTCAAACCTGGTCCAAGGCTCAAATAGTTAATTACAGGGCCCACAACCCTAGGGCATATTCTTATAATAGAGAATGGGGTAGGGGAGGAGGTCCGGGTCCTGAGGGCCTTGTTTTGGCCTTGGCAATGCGGCCATCCAGCTTTCTTTAGGATTGTTGTGCTTAGAGGTCCCTCCCTAGTTTATCCTCCTAGGGCAGTTTTATAATCAGGCCTATGTTAATTGAACTCTTGCTAGGAAATATTGGTACCCATCGCCCAAGCCTCACTGGCTTAGTTTAGGGAAGCACTGGTATGTACTATGAATCCCAGCTGTCCTTATGGTGGTCAATGAGGACATTTAGATAGTGGGAATGTGCCCATGACGCTGGTAAGCGTGATTAAACCCAGCATATGAGGGAGCCCCAGAAGATGATCACTCATCTTGGGCCAAGGAAATTACAAGGTACTATAACTGGGGACTCCTCAGGGCTAGCACTATAACTGGGGGAACCCCCAGGCCTCGTGGTTGCAAGGAATAACCAGGGATGCAGGCATTCCTGTGTTTGATTTCAAATGTGTGCTACTCTTCCCAAGGCAAAAATCTCCTTTAAAGTGTATCCTGGATAACTGGGACCAATTTAACATACAATCCTTGAAGAAATGGCTCATTTTTCTCTGCTGAACAGCATGGCCATGATATCCTCTGCCAAGTAGAAAAACCTGGACTCGTAAGGGAGGTATAAATTACAACATCATTGTACAATTAGACCTGTTCCATAAGAGCAAAGGTAAATGCTTTGAGGTCCCCTATGTGCAAGTTTTCTTCTCTCTGAGGAATAATCCTCAGCTATGTAAGGCCTGTACCCCATACCCTACTGGCCCCTCCTCAGGAATACCCCCATATTTAGGACTCCCTGTAGCTCCTCCCTCCACTGAAGCTGACCAGGTCTCCTCAGCTCCTATAACCCAAGAGGAATTGGGGAAGGCCGAGGTGGCCCAGGTACCTCAAGCTACTAGGGTGCCCCAACTCTGCCCCCTACAGGCAGTAGGAAGAGAATTTGGTCCAACCAAGGTACATACTCCCTTTTCACTTTCTGACTTAAAGCAAATCAAGGAGGACTTAGGAAAATTTTCAGATGACCTGGACAAGTACAAGCTGTTCTGCAGGTACTGGGTCAGTCCTTTGAATTAGATTGGAAAGATATAATGCTATTGCTTAGTCAAACCCTAACTAGCAATGAGAGAGAGGCTGCTCTAGCAGCGGCTCAAGAGTTTGGGGATACATGGTACCTTAGTCAAGTACATGATCAAATGACGCCAGAGGAGAAGGAAAGATTTCCTACAGGTAGACCAGCAGTCCCTAGCACAGAGCCTCACTGGGATCCTGACTCAGAAAACAGGGGGACTGGAGTCATAGGCACCTATTAACCTGCATACTTGAGGGATAAAGGTAAACTAGGGAAAAGCCCATGAATTATGCAATGTTATCCCCATAACTCAGGGAAAGGGAGTAAACCCAACAGCCTTCCGTAAGCAGTTATGGGAGGCCTTAAGAAAGTATACTCCTCTGTCACCAGATTCCATCGAGGGTCAGCTAATACTAAAAGACAAATTTATTATGCAATCAGCAGCAGACATTAGGAGGAAGCTCCAGAAGCTGGCCCTGGGGCCAGAACAGAACCTAGAATCATTACTAAACCTAGCAACCTCGGTGTTTTATCATACAGACAAGGAGGAATAGGCTGAACGGAAGAAGCGAGACCAGAGAAAAGCTGCAGCCCTAGGCGTGGTCTTCAGGCAAGCAGACCCAAGGGGCACAGAGGAGAGAAAGGCTTGGGTTAGCCACCAGTCTGGCAAAGCTTGCTACCACTGTAATCTAATGGGACACTTTTTACGAAATTGTCCCCAGAGAAATAGACCACCACCTCATCTTTGCCCACTGTGCCAACGGGATCACTGGAAGGCATACTGTCCCAGGGGACAAAGGTTCCCAGGGACTAAGGTTGCTAACCAGATGACTCAACAGCAGGACTGAGAGTGCTGATGTCTGCTTTATTAAAAACAATATAAAATGTTGTAGTTGACAAATGGAGCAGGATGAAGCCTATGGAGAAATACATTTTACTCTGAGGTCACAGAGACAGGATCACTAACTCTGAGGCAAACAGAAAGAACAAAAATAGAAAATCTACTCTAAATAAAGATTCCCATTCTATCCTTTTACAATGGAAATAAATCTTTTTTATATACATAAGAAGGAGGGGGAAAAGATGTACACCCATTTTTTTGCACATTTTCCTTCTGCTTTTATTGTACATGAAATTATAATTAAACACAGTCTGAGTGAAGTGGGTTGCTGGTATGTTTCCAAATTCTACCACTCCTGAGCTGGAAAAGCAAATATGAAATGTGAAGCCTGGTTCTGCAAATGGCAAATTACATGCTGGAGTATTTGTGAGAAACTGCAATTAGGTATTTCATGACACCATCAGTCTACAGAAAGAACAAAAACAACTCTTACTCTATGTGGTTTGGAGGGTTGGCTTTTCTGAAAAAAAAAATACTATACATATTCAATAAATAAATAGCTATTTACAAAGACATTTAGAGCCCTCTGTGGTTATGAAAAAGTAAGTGGTGAGTCTTGCATTTTCTTTGCATTTAAATTATTTGAGGGAGGGAACATTTCTTATTTAACCATGCTGTCATAATATATATTCAGAGTGTATGCTTTCACATTGCAATTACCACCATAAAGGGCAACCACTGTAAATAAGTGTGGTAAATGAAATACATTATCATGTGTGTTTTTGTGGTTAAAATCTTTTCTAGTAATAGGATACCAAAATAACAACCAGATGAAAACACAAATGTGCATTATAACCCCTTAGCTGCTATGCTTATATCCTTGAATTATTTAGGACAAAAAGGAATCTTTCTGTCCTCCATAGCATTTTTGCAATATTCCAACTCATGAAGAAGAATAGTTGTCAGGGTTCATGGATAAGCAAACAAAATGAAACAAACAAAAAACACTAAAGAATTGTGAAAGAACTGAAAGAAGAGGATTGTTCCTAAGGCATAAAGAAGCTTAAAAGGCTGGCTGAACTCTGTACACATCTTTACCCTTCCTTTGTAGCACTGTTTTTGTTCACATTAGAGATGCTAATTATAGCTCATTAGCATACATTAGCAAATGTTAATGAGCATCTTCTAAAGAACAAAAGGCAGTGGGGGCAGGGTAGAGCCAGGGTGAAGGCTTAGCCATGAGGGAAGGGCTACAACAGAAGAGAGACAAAGAGAAAAAGGAAATGAGAGCAATATAGGACTTAGATTCATAGTTTCCTAAAATTTGGAAGATCTGTCTTCCTGACAAAATTGTAATAGCACCAAGAAAAATAATTTACTTCATTTTTTTTTTTTGTAAAAATAGAAAAAGCAAGTCATTAACTAGAATAAATCCATTTTTTTTCTGCTCTTTAGCTGTCAAGGGAAAATCACACTTCATAGGACTTGCTACCCAATGAGGAATATGAGTTAACATTGTCATAATGAAAAGGAATTCTGAATTCTA